TTTTTTTTTTTTTTTTTTTTTTTTGTCTTTTGTCTTTTTCCGTGTCCGGCAACGGAACGCAACCCTCAGTGTTGCCCCCGTACCGGACCGGGGACCGGCAACGGGACCGCAACCCTCGGTGTTGCTCCCGCGCCTCGCTCAGCCAGTGAGCGGGAACCGGTCTGTATGTGGGATCCAAACCCTCGGGTGGGAGCGCCGCCACGCTTCCCAAGCGGCGCACTATCCAGTGCGCCACCGGGCCGGCCCCGACTACCACTGATTTTTTTAAGTGTGTTGTTTAATTTCTAAGTAGATGGAGATTTCCTTCTAAAAAAAAGTAATAGAATTACCTTTCTATTACTGGTTTCTAGTTTAAGTCCACTATGGTCAGTGAAACATACTTCATATGACTTCAATACTCTTAAGCTTAAGTTTATTATTATTGTTATTATTATTACTATTTTATTATCATTATCACCGAGGAAATTATCTCTCTTAGTGAATATTCCATGTACACTTGAAAATGATGTGTATTCCGCTGTTGTTGGATGAACTATTCTCAAGTGTCAATTAGTTCCAGTTGGTCGATGGTGCTGTTCACCTTGTCTGTTCCCTTGCTGTGTTTCTGTGTATTCGTTCTATCAATTACTGAGATAAATGTATTGAAGTCTCCAACCATAATTGTGAATCTTACATTTCTCCTTTAAATTCTGTCAAGTTTTGCTTCATATATGTTGAAGGTCTATGGTTAAGTGCATAGACATTTTGGATTATACGTCTTCTTGGTAAATTCACTCTCTCATTATGTCATGTCCTCTGTATCCCTAGCAATTTTACTTGCTCTGAAGTTGTTTTGTCTGATATTAATATAGCCACTCAAGTTTTCTTCTTGATTAGTATTTGTGTGGCATTCTTTCACTTTTTAACCTACCTTTATTATTATTTTGAATGCAGGTTTCTTGTGGATAGCATATTGCTAAGTGTTTTTTTCTTTAATCATTTTGAAAATCTTTCTTTTAATTATGAGGTTTGAGTATTTAAACTTAATGTAATTACTGCTGTGTTTGGATTTAGGTCTACCATGTTATTGTTTGTTCTGTGTTCCCTAATTTTCATTGCTGTGTTTCATTGCTGTGTCTTCTGTTGCATTATTTGGATACTTTTTAGAGTTCCATTTCACTTATCTATTAAGTTTATATTTCTTTGTGTAGTTTTTGTTTAGTAGACACTCTAGGGGTTAATTATACATCATTAACTTTAAAGCCTACTTACAATTATTATTTTACCACTAGAAAATTTCCACCACACAGATCCCTTTAAACTCCCCCTTTATGTTGTAGTTGTCATGTGCACTGCATCTACATACACTAAAAACTTCATCAGACTATGTTATAATTTTTGCTTTTAACTGTCAAACATATTTTTTTTAACTTAAGAGGGAAAAAAAATCTTAGTTTGTTATATTTACCCAGCTATTTACCATTTCTGTTTCTTTTCCTTCATTCTTGAAGTTTGAAGGTTCCCTCTGGTATCATTTGTCTTTTGTATGAAGATCTTCCTTTAATGTTCCTTCAGAGCATGTCTGCTGGCTATAACTTCTCCTAGTTTTTCTCCATGTGAGAATGTGTTTATTTCACCTTCATTCCTGAAGTATATTTTTGCTGGATATAGAATTCTGTGCTGACAGTGGTTCAGTGCTTTACAAATACTCTTCCACTTCTTTCTGGCCTCCATGAAAAATCTGCAGCCATTTGAATGACTGTTCCCAATGTATGATGTCTTGTTTGTTTCTTGATGCTTTCAAATTTTTTTCATTGTCTTTAGTTTTCAGCAATTTGTTTATAGTGTCTGTGGGCACTGATTTCCTTGGTTTTCCTGTTTAAAATTCGCTGGGCTCGCGTGTCTGTGAGTTAATGTTTTTCATCATATTTGGAATGTTTTCAGCAATTATTTCTTGATACTGTTCTGCACCACACTCTCTCTTTTCCTTCTGGAACTCTGTTGACAGAGTGTTAGGCCTTTGTTTTTGTCCCACAGGTCTCTGAGTCTCTGTTTTTTCCCTCATCTTTTTTCTCTCTGTTCTCCAGATTGGATAATTTCTGTTGCACTACTTACAAGTTTACTGAATATTTCCTGTTTTTCACCTCATTTTATTTACTTATTTATTTTTGGTTGGATTCATTCTTTTTAATGTTTCTCCTTTCACTCCTCAATGATATCCTTTAACTTGGGTACCACAGATACAAAGGAATTAATTGAACATAACTAGACTAACATAAAGGATGAACTATAAACAGATTTTCTAAATAATTTACTTAGGCTTATATACAGGCATGACTCTTTTAAACTATTGGTTTCCCTTGTTAGAATCTTGTAAAATATTTGATTCATAGGGACCATCTATTCATTAAGTCCTTAATAATCAGTTTCATGTAGATGAAAATATCTTCAGGAGTATATAAAGCCTCATTAGATTCCCTATATATTTACTACTTAATTTTTAAAGGTGGAGTTTCATTGCTTTATCTCTTGTTGTTTTATTATCATCTCATTTTATAATTGAACTGTGCCAGTGAATTTTCCATTTCAGTTATTATATTTTTTAGTTCTAACATTTCCATTTCATTCTTTTTGTGTCCGTTTCCCTGGTATTATTTTCCATTCATTTCAAGAGTATTCACCCTTATTTCTTAAAGCATGGTTCTTTGAGTTGCTTTAAAATCTTTGCCTTGATAATTCAAACAATTGTGTCATCTTGGTGTTGGCATCTGTTGATTATCTTTTCCTTTGCAAGTTATTGAGATTTTCATAGTTCTTTGTATGTCAGGTAATTTGGGGCTGTTTCCTGGACATTTTAAATATTACGGTATGAGTCTCTGGGCCTTGTTTAGTTCCTATGGAGAATAATGATTAAGTTTTTCAGGCAATTGACCCAGTTAAGTTCAGACTACAAGTTCTTATTGGCCTTCAGGGACTGTTTATTATGTCAGGTCAGGTTTCAAAGTGTTTGCAGGGCTATTTGGATAAGTGGATCATGCAGGGGCTAGTCTGGACCTGTAAATTGTTCCATCCTATGGTTTAGTTCTCAAAGACCTTAGTGTAATAAGGGTCAGGCCCATTCATGTAGTTTGGGGGTCCAGGAGTTCATACACATCTTGATGGGACCCTTTTCTTGAGTTCCTTCCTCTCAGCCTTCTTCAGACACTTCCTAGTTTCTAGGATCACTCTCCCCTCTCCTCCATTATTTTCATTAGAAAACTGGGACTTTCATTTTCCCTGTTTGCCACACACTTCCTGCAGCAGTGTCTGCCTCTGTAGCCAGGTGGCAGAAGGATAGAGAGAGAAAAAAGAAACAGGGATTCTCCCCCATGCTCTTGGGACCACAGTTCCTCTTGTCAGAGAGTATTCTCCTCCCTCAGAGTTTTAGCAGCCTGCCTGACCACTGCTGACATTACTATAGGTGCATGGGGGGCTGGGGTGGGAGAAATCAACATCTAAATACACAGGACTTCCCCCATTCCCTCATAACTTTAGGAAACCCTTTCGCTCTCTTCATATCATAGAGGGCTTCTTTGACGGTCCTTTTTGTCCATGCCCAGTTTGAAGCAGCTGTTGAGTTCACGCCACGTGAACAACGAAACAGGGAACATACCACATGATTAGTGTAATTTCAAATTCTGGTTTATTCCCCAATCTACCTGCTACCGTTTACTTTCAGAATTCTCAAATAGATGATGTACACATTATGTCCAATGTTTTTCGTTGCATTCAAATGGAAGAGATGGGATGGAGTATGCTACTCCATTTTAATCCTTGTTTGTATGTTTATGTTTCCAGAAATCAGTAAAAGAATTTTCTAAGCACTATTTCCTTAATAGTGTGAGGAATACAAAAGCAAAAGGAAAGGGAACAAGCATGCATTTGAATATATACCACAGTTTTTAAATTAACACAATAACCTTATAAAGCAGAAGAAATCAGGAGGGGCCAAGTTTATCTCTGGATAATGGATGAAAATGACCATATATCCCTTGCCTTCCCAAGACCCCACACAACATTGGTTCTTACTGTCTGAAGGACAGTGTCTGTTTCATAATTATGAGATTTCAGGGACTTTGTGAGTTGCATTTTAATTAAGTGCCCCCAAAAGAATATGCCTTAGCTAAAACAAACAGTCTTGCTTTGGGGGAAATAGCAGGCTGTGTGGCTGACTGGCTGGGAGAGACCTGGGAATCTGAAGACCTCAACAGTCCTCATTTCACATAGTAGAAAAAAAACCTAACCTGCTAGGGTTGCCACCTATGGGCGTACAGGTTGCATGCTACAGACTCCAGGAGAAGCTTTCCTCATGGGTTTTGGTGTCAGTGGCACTTTCTGGAGCTGTACACATTTTGGCTGTGTGCTCTGCTCACAGGAAAGGTCCTGGGCAATTAGAAAAATCAGGAGGTGGCAATGACAGCCTGTCAGCTCTTTTCTTCATTTACTCTCTGCTTCTTTCCTCCTCTCCCAGTGTTGGAGGAAGACGATCGCTACCTCTCCAGAATCTTTGAATTTCCCTGAAAAAAGCCATCCACTCTCTCAGAGTGCCCCGACAGGACTGAACCACATGGGCTGGCCGGAGCACACACCTGACACTGGTGAGTTCCATGCCTCTCTCTTTTGCCATATACTCTGATGTCCTGACAAAAAGGATGAGTGAGTGTTATGGTGGCTATACCTACTTGTATGGCAGAAGTAGCCTGAAGATGAAAGAGGAAAAAATTGTCTCATTCTTCATTTAGGAAGGAGTACCAGGTACCTAAAGAAAGGGAATTCTTAGCTTGGGGAAGATTCTGTTACTGAATCCCAAGAAGAACTACCGATTATCCCCTGGTCTTGTAATAGGATATAACTTGCAGAAGAAATAATCATGTAGTGAGTTGTCTCTAATCTAGTGATGAAACTTGGGTGTTTTTTCTTCTGAGGAACACTAGCCCCTTCCTTGGGTTTTATGGCAGCCTTTGTGAGCCCCTTTCCCAAAACTATAGCAAATATCATATCACATATTTGTCCATAAAAGGGCTAGCTTTTTGTACTATAAGGGAATAGGGCCCCAGGATGAGGCCTCTTCATGCACAGCTACCACCTTTCTTAAACCCAACCCAAGAGGGGCTGGGCATGCTGAGAAATGCTCATGGGCTCCTGGTGGAAAGAGAGAGGTTGAGTCTCAGGCCTTGAGCAGGTGCAGGTTATGTTAGATGGCAACCTAACAATTTAAAAGCATTCAGCTGGCTGGAGGGAGAGGCCAAATCTGGTGTTTAAGGAAGGTAAACTAGGGTAAAGCCCAAATAGAGTTGAAGGAAAAAATAGCTACATCTATCAAACATGCACATTGTCCAGACTTGGGAAGTGAGGAGTGGGCTGGCATTCAAGGCTGTCGGTAGTCTGGTCTGTGGGAGCTAAAGACCCATAGAAAGCCCATGATTTTAGATAGAGGTTGATGTGCGAGAGTGGTGGTGGGACCTGGGCTTTAGAGTTTGCATGTACTATGCTAAGGAGTCAGATTTGATGTAGACACTAAGTCCTGAGCTCTGAATCTGATTCAGTGCACACTGGGTGCTGGTCCCTGTGGAAGTTGGATGCAAAAATTAGCTGATGGACATGATCATTTTCCACCCACAAAAGTACATGCTTAGGCTTCATTGTGAAGTGGACTTTCATTCCTTCCCATACACATTCCTTCCCTGTGATCTTAAACTCACAGTAAGCAAAGTTATGAAAAGATGTTTGACAACTGGTGAAAGAATCTTTTCCAGGGCAAAGCCCTTCATTAAGTCATGAAATTATTCAGAGGCTCATGAAGGGACAGTAACAGGGGAGAAGAGTCTTTTTCAGAGATAATCCTCAAAGCTGATTTTGGCACCTTACAAATCCAAAGCTTAATAGTCACGTATCCCTATTATTTGAGAATGCCATTTAAATTCATTGGCAGAAGAACTGATTGCAGAATAAAAAACCTAAAGCTTCAGTGACACATGCCCTTAGCATGTGTGCACACCAAAGGCACAGCTGAAAGTCAGAGGTCAGGCTCTGGCTCTGGCTCTGGTCACACTTCATACTGGGTGAGAAATTGGGCACGTTCCTCCATTTCTCTGTATCTCAGATTCCTTTTTTGTCAAAAAAAGGAGTGGTAATTCATTCATATCTTCCTATCTCATAAGGTTAATATGAGGTACTAGCTTGGGTCTCTAAGTTTAGCTTAAGAAAGCTTTCTTTTCTTTCCTTAATTCTTGTTTCTACTCCAATTGTCCTGTTCAAAATTCTAGGATTTGTATTTTATACAGATTGTACTTCCACTTTCTATACCTGAAACCTCTCATCATTTTCATTTTTTTAAATATTTTTTCTTCTCATTTCTGGGAGAATTTCTGTTTTATCTTCTGCTTTGTTTTCCTTGGTTTTATCACACCTATGTTCACTGCTGTCACCAGGGTTTGTGATCCAGTAGTCATGTTTTTAATCTCCATGCAATTTTTCCAATGTCTTCTCGAAAATTAAGAGCAAAAAATTAAAAAAATTTGTAAAGTTTCTCCTGTTCACGGCTTACAGTTAATTTCCAAATTCATGTCCTCTTTTGACTGGAAGTGTTATTTTTTTAAAAAGGTGAAATTTCTCTATTTGCTCATCCTTACAGACATCAGTCCTTCTCCAGCACTGACTTGTCATCAAGTAGCATTGGAAATAACATTCTTTCAGAGATTGTTATAGATTTCTGTTCAAATCCTTCAAACACAGCTGAAGCAGGACATGAAAATATACCTTTAATGTATACTGTGAGTTCAATCACCTAAAAACTTGGAGGGAACTGTAAGCAGTCTTGGCAGAATTTCTTCTCCACATTTGGAGGGGTGGCCAAAAATCAGCATGATGTAGGAACATGCCGCCCTTTGCCCCGAAAGCTGGTGCCCAGGATAAATTCCACCACACATTCCTTTTTTGGGGAAGCCAGCAGGGCCAGATGCACCTCTGGGAGTCCCTGGTGTGGCGGATCACGTGACTCTCTGCACCCCTGGACTCACATCCTGGCTTTACAAGCATCTGTAGGGTTTTACCAGGAATTTTCCTACTGCCTTCTGGTTATATGGTTATTTTACAAGCTGTAGATCACCTCTTTCTTCAAGCCAATTATATCTTTGTTTTATCTTGTGGCTGATGCGTTTCCCCAGTTTTTAGTGCTCGCAAAGGTTTTTCCTATTTTCTTAACAGCTTTATTAAGTTTATACAGTTCACCCATTTAAAGTGTATAATTCAGTGGTTTTTAGTATATTCATAGATATGTGCAATTATCACCACAGTCAATTTGAGAACATTTTCAGCATTTCATAATAAACCGCCCCCCACACACACACACACTCCCCGGATCTCCACACACACCCCCACCCACCCTAAAGAACCACTAATCCACTTTCTTTCTCTATAGATTTCCTAGTCTGGATTTGCAGATGAATAGAATCACATAGGATCTGGTCTTTTGTGACTGGCTTCTTTCACTTAGCATAATATTTTCAAGGTTCATCCACATTGTCACTTGTATCAGTATTTCATTCTTTTTTATGGTTGAATGTTATTCCATCATATGGCCACATTTTGTTTTTTCATTCACCCATCCATGAACATTTGGATTGTTTCCACCTTTTGGCTATTGTGAATAACGTTGCTATAACATTCGCCTGCAAATTTCAGTGTAGAACTATGTTTTCATTTCTCTTAGGGATAAACCTAGCAGAGGGAAGGTTGGGTCATATGGTAACTATGTTGACTCATTTGAGGAACTACCAGACTATTTTCCCAAGCAGCTGCACCATTTTACATTCTCACCACCAGTGTAATTTGTCCAATTTCTCCACATCCTCATCAACACTTCTTATCTAACATTTGATTCTAGCCAAACTAGTGGGTGTGAAGTTGTATCTCACTGTGGTCTTGATTTGTATTTCCCTGATAACTAATGATGTTGAGCATCTTTTCATGTGCTTACTGGTCATGTGTATGTCTTCTTTGGAGAAATTTTTATTTAAATTCCTTACTCATTTTTAAATTGGTTTATTTGTCTTTTTATTGAGTTGTAAGTGTTCTTTATATTCTAGATTCAAATCCCTTATCAGACCACATGATTTGCAAATATTTTCTCTAGTTCTGTGGTTTGTCTTTTCACTTTCTTGATAGTGTCCTTTGAAGCATAAAAGCTTTTCTAATTTTGAGGAAGTCCAGTTTATGTATTTTTTCTTTTGTTGCTTGTGCTTTTGGTGTCTTATCTAAGACTCCTTGCCAAATCCCAGGTCATGAAGATTCACCCCTGTGTACTGTTCTAAGAGTTTTATAGTTTTAGCTCTTGCATTTAAGTCTTTGATCTATTTTGAGATACTTTTGTATATGGTATTAGGTGAGGGTCTGACTTCGGTTTTTTGCATGTAGCTATCCAGTTGTGCCGGCACCATTTGTGGTAAAGACTATTCTTTTTCCCTTTGAAAAGTCTTGGCATTCTTGTCAAAAATAAGTTGACCATAGATATATGGGTTTATTTCTGGACTGTCAATTGTGTTCCATTTATCTATATGTCTGTCCTTCTGCCAGTACCATACAGACTACCATTGCTTTTATGGTAATAAGTTTTGAAATCAGGAACTGTGAGTCCTCCTACTTCTTCTCTTTCAGGAATGTGTTGACTATTCTGAGTCCCTTACAATTCCACGTGAATTTAAGAATCAGGTTGTGAATTTCTACAAAGAAATAAGTTGGGATTCTGACAGGGATTGTGTTGAATCTGTAGATGAGTTTGGGGTGTATTGCCATCTTAACAATACTGAGTCTTCTAATCCATGAACATACGATTTTCCCCTCATTTATTTAAATCGTCTTTAATTACTTTCCACAATGTTTTGTAGTTCTCAGAGTACAAATTTGTACTTTTTGATAAATTTATTCATAAGTATTTTATTCTTTTTGGTATTTAGGGACTGAATTGAGCAACCCCCAATTCATATATTGAAGCCCTGATATAGTTTGGATACATTTGTACCCCAAAGCTCATGTTGAAACCCCATTCCCAATGAGGCAATGTTGGGAGGTGATTGCGTCGTGGGGGAGGATCCCTCATGAATGGATTAATGCCGTCCCTGGGGGAGGGAGGTAGTGAATGAATTCTTACTCCATTAGTTCCTGTAAGAGCTGGTTGTTAAAAGGAGCCCAGCACTTCCCCTCCCTCTCTCGAGCTTCCCCTCTCACCATGTGATCTTGCACCCACTGGCTGCCTGCCAATTTCCACCATGAGTAGAAGCAGCCTGAGGCCTGTGACAGATGCAGCTGTCCCAGAATCATGAGCCAAATAAGCCTCTTTTCTTTATAAATTACCCAGGTATTCTGTTACAGCAACATAAAAATGGACAAATAAAAACACTATCCCCCAATATTTCTGTATTTGGAGATAAGGCCTTTAGGGAGGTAATTAAGGTTAAATTATGTCATAAGAATGGGGCACTAGCCTTATAGGGCTGGTGTCCTTCTAAGAAGAGACACCAGAGAGCTTTCTCTCTAAGCACTCACACAGGAGAGGATTCAGTGAGAAGGTGACTGTCTATAGGAAGAGAGGCCTCACCAG